AGAAAAATAAAATATATAAAAAGAAATGATTAAAACATAGTAATAAAAATGACAAAAATTTTCTGTTTTTGGTTATAAATTGGAGATCTGCTATATTAAAATCCGTAAGTACTAAATAACGTCTTAATTTAGATTTGAATTGCGGAAGTGTTTTTTCTTTAATATTAACAATATGCGGAAAGTTTTTCCACAAAATTGGACCCCTGTACTGAAAATAATAAGAACATAACTTTAGATTATACTTTTGAGTTACAAAGTTATTTTCTGAGAACTTGGTGGGGTATTTATGGCTTACTTCTCTAAAATAAGGATAGAATATCTCTGGAGGCAGTCCATGTTTTATTTGATACATGAACTGTATGACGAGGAATATGTTAATTTTAAACACATTTAATGCATTGAGTTTACGTAAAAGTGGCTTACAAGGCACAGATCTTTTTACTCCAAATACAATTCTACATGCATGTTTTTGTTTATTATAAATTTTCTTTAACTTAGCGTAGCTGTTGCTTGCCCATACGATATTGCCGTAAGTTAGATAGCTATGTATGAAGGAAAAATATAAACTTTTTAGAGATCTTATATCCAAAAATGGTTTTGTTTTATACATCATTGCAATGTTTATTGAAAGTTTTCTGTCAAGAGTGTTTATATGTTTCCTCCATGTTAAATTTTCGTCTAAAATAATACCTAAAAAGTTTACAGTTGTTTGCCTAGTAATATTTATATTATTGATTTTAAGATTGGGTAATTTTAAAAGAAGGTTTCCTGTTTTGGTTGGTTTGTGAAATAGAATAAATTTAGTTTTGTTAACGTTAAGTGAAAATTTATTACAAATAAACCATTCATTTACTTTGTTTACTTCTTCATTTACTACTTTGAAGAGGGTTTTAATATCCCTATGAGAACAAAACAGATTGGAGTCATCAGCAAACAAAATAAAGTTTAGTATGTTCGAGGTAAGAGATAGTTCATTTATATAAAGAGAAAACAGTAACGGTCCTAAGATTGAGCCATGAGGAACTCCACATTTTTTTATACTTTTTGTCGTTTTAACATTTTCATATTGAATGTATTGCTGCCTGTTTGATAAGTAATCTTTAAACCATAGTAAATTATTGTTTTTTATTCCATAATGTTCAAGTTTTTTTAAAAGAATGACAAGGTTGACTGTTTCAAAGGCTTTAGACAGATCAATAAATACTCCTAATGTAAAACGGTCATCATTAAAGGCATTGGTTACATGAGTTACTAACTCGGTCAAACCGTGATCAGTTGAATGATTTTTTTTAAAGCCAAATTGCTTGTTGTACAACATGTTATTTACTGTTAAGTAAATAACATGTTGTACAACATGTTTAGCCTATTATACATTATACGCTCGAGTAACTTAGAAAAGCATGGTAAAACTGATATTGGTCTATAATTTGAAGAATCTGTGTCATCGCCAGACATAAAAATAGGCAAGACCCGTGCAATTTTTAATTTTTCTGGAACTGTTCCAGGTTGAAGAGAAAGATTAAAAATGTGATATAAAGGAGTTTCTATAATATGAAAAACTGATTTAACAACATTTATGCTAATATTATCAAAACCTACACTTGTGTTGTTTTTAAAATTATCTAGAGCGTAACTCATTAATATCTAGTTTAGATTCGTCCATGACCTTATCATATATTTTTAAATAAGAATCAAACGATGATGAACTTGAAGGAATTTTTTCAGCTTCTTCGGTTGAATACTTATTCCATTATTTTTTCTGCCAATAATAATTATATATAATAAATATATATATATATATATATATATATATATATATATATATATATATATATATATATATATATCTTCATCTCTCTCTCTCTCTCTCTCTCTCTCTCTATATATATATATATATATATATATATATATATATATATATATATATATATATATATATATATATATATATATATATATATATATATATATATATATATATATATATATATATATATATATATATATATATATATATACATATATATATATATATATATGTATATATATATATATATATATATGTATATATATATATATATATATATATATATATATATATATATATATATATATATATATATATGTATATATATATATATATATATATATATATATATATATATATATATATACACACCTTTTACACTTGTAAATGATAATTATTTTGTTTGATAAGTGAAGCAAAGTCTGTGAAGGCAAATAAATCTTATATATCTTATGCATACCTAATGAGTGTTAAAAGGATCCCCAAGAGTTGAGACAAGTTGTGTTCATATCAAAGATAAACATTAGAAAATAAGTTAACTGTTAATTAAACTTTCCAAAACAAGTTATTGAATGAATAATGAGATAATAACAAAAGCATTTGGTGTTTTGCTTTTGTACTTCTGGTTGAGAGCCTAGTTTTAAGCTCTTAAATCTGCAATTTTTTATGTTAAAAAACATCTGATTTTAATAATAGATAATTTCTCTCACTGCAGAGTTTTTTAAACAGTTCAGTTTCACATAATTAGATTAGGTTTTCCCTTTTAAAAATAGTCTGCGGTGGTTATAAAAAACGTTCACTGTAGCATGTTTTTGTTTTTTGTTCAACGTGTTGTGAAGTGTTAAAATAAACTAGCGTAATAAAAATATTAATTAATCGAAGCGAGCTTATTACTTTTATTAAAAAATACAGCAAAGTTTTCTTTTACAATCTGCAATTTATTTATACTATTTATCTCTAAATCAAAAAAATAAAGTAGTAATTTTGTGATTTTAGATTTTAATAACACAACTAAAATAATCTTGACATTTGTTTTTAGCAAATGTCAAGATTACTTTTAAGTTTTTGTATCTTACTAATTTGTATAGTACTTAAATTAGTATTATTTTTAAAATAATTTAATTTTTTTTTTAATTAAAATAAAAAGTCTGACTAAAGCGTTACTTATCTAATGTATGATTTTAATGCACATTTACATTTTATTGAAGATGACAGGGCCGACAACGCGGTTTCCATAGTGATAGGGGAGGGGGGCATAATCCCATATTTGGAAAAAATCGTCAGTTTCTGAGTTAATTTCTGGAAAAAAAAATTCATCAGAATAAAAATTGTGTGTGTTTGTGTGGGGATGGGGGCATTTACCATTTGGCTCCCCGGTGTCGTCGGCCCTGGATTATATAAAAATGTGTTTTACATAAAAATGAAGACGTCGGTCACCTTATTATATATTTATTATATATCTTATTTATTTTCATTTAAACATTGTAAAATTTACTTTTGTTTGGTCTATTTATTGCTATAATTTATTTTTCATATTGAAATGATGTATTTATCAAAATATTAAACTAATCTTTATTTAATAACTTAGCTATTTAATAACTTATTAATATTTTTAGTAACTTGGGCCACGGCGTGACATTTAAGTAGATGGAAGGGGGGGGGGGGGGGGTTGAAGCACTAAAAAAACCTAATATACCAAAAAAACTACTACTACAACTATTAAAAAAAAAAAAAGTCTTCTTAAAAAAATTTTTAGGTCATGACCTCCTCGGTTCCCCCACTTACTCTGTCGGCATGGCTTATAAATAAACGACAATATTAATTGAGATATTTGACGAATTGAGAAATTTTGATTTTAAAATAACAAAAATATTAAACTAATGTTAATAATACACATTTATATTTCATTGAAAATGACAGGGCCGACAACATGGTTTTCATAGTGATGGGGGGCATTTACCATCTGGTTCCCCGGTGTCGTTGGCTCTGGATTTTATAAAAATGTGTTCTATATAAAAATGAAGACATCGGTCACTTTATTATATTTTCTGTTTCTTATTTATTTTTTATTTAAACATTGTAAAATTTACTTTTGTCTGGTCTATTTTAAAATAATAAAAACTATACTGATTTAATTTATCATATAATATTTTTATATAATATTTTATATAATATTTTATTTCAAATATAGTTAATTTGTAAAATATGTAAGATAGCAACAATAAAAAAAAAAAAAAAAAAAACATTAACAATTAATATCTTGCAATCTTCTTTGTTCTTGCAATAAGTTTGTCTTTAGTCTTTATTTATCAATAATTTTCAAAAAATTTTTTTTTAAAAATCTTAATTTTTAAAAAAAAATTTTTTGAAAATTATTCTTATATATATTTTATATAAAAAAATATATATTACATATAAAAAAAATTTTTGAAAATTATTCTTATATATATTTCTTTTATTTATATTTTATTATATTTATTGCTATTAATTTATACTTATGATTCAAAATACCGTTTTTAAAATGATCTAATATATATTTTTTATATTGATGCTAAAAAATTGAATCTTATATTTTCGTTTAACCACAAAAGGGAAACCCCAAACATACTCTACATGTTAGGTTTTTTAAAAGAAACTTTTTTTATTGATTTTTTTATTGACAAATATTAAGGTACTTCTATACAATTAGACAACTTTTTTCTTAAAAATTAATATATTGAGTGATTCATTACATTAATTACAAATATAGGTCAAAAAATGACAGAATTTATTTATTTATTTATTTATTTTTTTTTTTTTTTTGCATATAAAAAGTGGGTTTTGGTCCCAAAAAGGGGCTAAAACTGTTTACACAATTACTTAACATAGGGTGACTGTTAAATTTTGAAACTTGCACAGTTGTTTTATAACAATGTAAACTACAATCTGTGCCACTTTCACATTCCAACTATAAAAACTTGCAAAAATATAGCCATTTTCATAAGAATAGGTGATTTTCACAATTTTACTCGCCTATTCAAAATTTCATAAGTACAAATCTGATTAAGCGAGTTTCTTCAATGAGGGTCATTTTGTAGCTATATAAGTAAGCAACATTTGTGGAAAATTTCAAGAAGTTTTATAAAGTATTAGTGAAAATATCATGTAAACGGTATAACCAAAACTACAAAAAGTATGTACTGAGAAAAAACAGTTTTAAAAATCAGTTAATATTTATTGACATAAAACAAAACAGAGTTAACTCAATAGGATCCTGAATTATAAGATTGGCACCCTTCAATATCTTTGTTTTTGTCTATATACCCTTTTCTTAGGCTTCTTCTTACTTTTCTTTGTTTTTTTGAAATATTAGATGATTGTTTACGATGAATTATAACTCTATGATTATCACTTTTTAAAGCATTTTGTTCAAAAAAACTTCCACGTGGAATATCTAAACAATCAAAAACATTTCCAATACCATTAATGCCATCATTGAAACTTTTGATAGCAGAACACACACCGATTGTAAGAACTTTCCTGCTACAATAAGTAGATTTTGGACAGCGTGCCCAAATAATTCCATTCAAACACTCATTTATATTTTGCGTTTGGCCATGAAGGCATTTTAATTTATTAATTATGAATGCATCTCCATATGGCTTTCATTCAACTACCCTTTTAAATGAACTAGAATCACCATCACCAATGTAATTGTTATACCTTAAGTTATATTTTGACTCAGAACGGTTGAACATATGAATTGCACCTTCAGATTCTATTGAACCTGCAGATTTGGTAT